TGGCAATATTAAGTATTGAAAAAGACGTACTTAGTACCTTAAATTAAGTTTAATTGATGCATTTGCAGCAGCAAAAGCACGAAAGATTCATATAATGAAACCATTAATACCAGAATGCTACCTGTACAAGATCTAGTTAAGTATATGTACAGTTTTGTAAACTAATAAAATTTGTTATTTGTAAACTTAAGTAGTATTTTATCAATCTGTTTTATAATCCATGTACATCACAAGTGACTGGCTTCTCATATAAAACGTAAGTTTCAAAACTAGGAATATAACAGAAATTTATTCTGCATACTTGAAAGATTACTCTAGCTTATTGACTGGAACAATTCTGGATGCCATAAATATTGTTACGACAGCGGAGGCCACGTGATTCTAGTCACACGTCATATTCTCGAAGCTTCGTGAATCCTCGGGAGGTTACTAAATGTACGGTATTCTTTTATATAAGACGGCCAAGAAGTGAAGGTAATGTGATGTAATTGAACTGCGGACAGAGAGAGAGAGAGACATATTGTTGAGTCGAGCACGTGAGGCGTTCGTTGTGAATTATAGCGTTTGCTATAGCGTAAATGTGAAAATTAAGTGTATTGCAAAGTTGTATTGAGAAAGAATAAACCAGTTTTATTTAAGAAAGGACTTGTGTCGCTAAAGTTTCATCGGAAATAATTTTGACGGAAAATTAACTAACGACCAGAGACGTAACAATATCAGAATGCTTTACAAATTATGTAAGTGCACCTAGTAGGCTATAGGTTTACAGTTATGATATCGTGAGATGTTATATTGTGACTTTATTTTAGGCCTGTGTAAGGCGGTAATTAATTCTTTATGTTATTGTCATTAAGTGGGTAATGAGTCACGAAACAATTAATCAAAACATTTCAGAGGTGGGGGTGCCAAAAGTGTCTTTGCCCCCAGGTGCTGAGAACCATTGCTACGCCACTGATTAGGCCTAAAGTTTATATAAGCTTCGTACGCGAAGTACGAGTTGCCCTGATATGGGAATATAATATTACCTCATTTCTGTTATTGATAACACTGAACACAACACTTTGTTAACACTTTAGGGAAGAGTAAAAAAAAAGAGTTGATACCATCACAAAAGGAAAAATAAAAATAAGTAAAATAGCGAAAAGCGAAGACAGTTGATTTTTACTCTTCTTGATACCATAATTTTAAAAATTCACTATTTTATAACGTCCCTTTATAAAGAGTTTGATCAAGAAAAAAAATCTCATGATCTTAGTTTAAAATGGCGATTATCCAGAAACACAAGGTGTTCATACAAAAAATGTTGTGTACAGAGATATGTTTCGTTTATAATAATTTCACGTTTTTATACTTCTTTAATTTAAATTTAAGTCTAGATTTTTTGTTTCATTCGTGTCGAACTACATAATACAAAAACAGCATTATTTAAGGGTTTATTGATTTAAACACACACTATAGACAAACGTTTACTTATGATATGACGAAAGAAAATCTATTTTCAAAACAAAGCCACTTTTATTATGAATATTCAATTTTTATAATAATAATTATAAGATACTGGTAATTGTCAAATTCTGCGCAAGTGTAACTGGAAATGCAACTGTCATTGCAACGAACTCTGCAAATGTACAGTATGAACCTGGATGTAGTTCATTTAAGTAAATCTTTGCTGTTTTTAAGATCTATGTAGTGTATAATTATGCTAATACTTTTGTAATTGTTTTAGTGACAGTAACCGACACTTTTGTTTCGCTCATCATTTGAATTCACCTTTTTAAATATTATATATATATTTTATTTCCCTCGGAATTGAGTGTATTCCATTATTTTTGGTCAAAAATTGGCGCTCGTGTATTCCGTCTGGATAGGCTTATCAGCAAACGTTAGTTAAATTGTAGAACTTGAAGAAATAGAAACCTGAGTTTACAGGATTTTGCGTCCTTGTTTTTTTGCTGATAAATCCACCAAATGATAGAAACTATTACAATAATATTCTTCTGGCCAGAGCGAGATTATACTAATGGTATTGTCAGAGAAATAAATTCAATTCTTCAGATCTGTGTAAGAAACTTTTGGTGTCACCAAAGACAAACATTTATTTTTCTTCTCTAAGGAGCTTTGTGATATTGACAAACAATTGAATTATTCAGATCTACTTGTGATTTACCTAGTTTGAAATACTTGTGTTTTTCAGATCGTTGTAAGAGATCAGAAGTAGTGCCAGGAAGAAATAACTTGTTTTTTCTAATCCTATATCATGAGTAAAAAGTCATTTTTAATGTTTTGCAGGCCTTTATGAAGAAAGCCATGGAATCGTTAGTAACACAATGTATGATCCAAAATTCAACACAACATTTGACATGAAAAATCTTGAAACCAGATGGTGGGATGGTGGAGAACCAATCTGGACAACGGCAAAGTTGCAAGGAGTGAAAGTTGGTTCTTTCTTTTGGCCAGGATCTGAAGTTCTACTCAAAAATGTAAAACCGAACATTTGTATGGCTTATAATAAATCTACTCCATTCAAAGCACGAGTAGATATAACCATTGGTTGGCTATCCAAAAAGAATGTCGACCTTGCCGTCTTATATTTTCATGAACCAGACAGTGCAGGGCATAAGTATGGGGCCTTTAGTTCTGAAGTCGAGAAAACTGTTAAGACAGTCGATGAAACTCTTGGTTACATTTTAGATAAGCTAGAACAGACCAACTTACTAAACAAAGTTAATCTTATCCTTGTAAGCGACCATGGAATGACGAATGTAACTCTTGACTCTAAACATATAATTGCTCTAAACGAATCTTTAGAGCTAGAACAGTATGTTCAAATAATAGCTGATTATGGCCCCGTGGCTGCTATTTTGCCAAAGAAAGATAAAGAGGACTTGGTGTACAACCATTTGAAAACGGCTCACCCAAACATGACGGTTTATAGAAAGAAAGATATTCCTAACCATTTCCACTATAAGAACCACAGACGAATAATGCCGATCATTGCTGTAGCTGATGAAGGATATTACATAGTACCAGTAAGTTGTCTTTTGAAAATAAGTTAGGCTTACATGAAATCAAACTTGGCTCGCCCTCTATGGTAGGCCACTACTCATCTAGTTAGATTAGTCCTACAGGATATGAAACTTGGCTCGTCCTCTATGGTAGGCCACTACTCATCTAGTTAGATTAGTCCTACAGGATATGAAATTTGGCTCGCCCTCTATGGTAGGCCACTACTCATCTAGTTAGATTAATCCTACAGGATATGAAATTTGGCTCGCCCTCTATGGTAGGCCACTACTCATCTAGTTAGATTAATCCTACAGGATATGAAATTTGGCTCGTCCTCTATGGTAGGCCACTACTCATCTAGTTAGATTAATCCTACAGGATATGAAATTTGGCTCGCCCTCTATGGTAGGCCACTACTCATCTAGTTAGATTAATCCTACAGGATATGAAATTTGGCTCGCCCTCTATGGTAGGCCACTACTCATCTAGTTAGATTAATCCTACAGGATATGAAATTTGGCTCGCCCTCTATGGTAGGCCACTACTCATCTAGTTAGATTAATCCTACAGGATATGAAATTTGGCTCGCCCTCTATGGTAGGCCAGTATTCAACTAGATAGATTACCAAAAGATAGTCTACACTTGCTTCAGAGTTAGTCATCTTTGCGATGTTTTAAATAGTTTTTCAGAGGTAATGTTTTTGGGTTAATTAATGAGTTTAATGTATGTGATATTATTCAGATTTTACTACACGAGTTAAACTTGGTTCATTTTGTTCATATTTCGTAATCTTCTCAGACTCGTTTGGAATCGTGATTTTTTATTTTACTGTATTTAATATCCTGGAGGAAGGAAAACTTTAGCCAATAATTTGTTCAACTACTATCGTGATAGTGAGATTAAAATATTGGAATTGTACGCATTTCCTTGATACACTTTATTCTTGAATTAATTATTAATTTTGAAAGTTTTTTGGTTTCAAAATAAAATGAATTGCCTAAAATGTTATTTTACTTTAAGTCACAGTGAATGATGTTTTTATGTAAGGCTACAACACGTTGGGGTTCGACACGTTTTAAAATATTCTCTCAACCAGTGACGTGCATGGGGGTGGAGCTAGGGGATTAAGCCTCTGATTGCCTGCTATTATTCCCCAAAAATTCTTTTTCTTTCTCTGTCGTAAAAATTGTCAACGACTACGAAAAGATACACCTGACTTCATATTTTGGTTGCTGCGAATTGTAAGGAATATATATATGTATATATCAGCGTTAACATGAATTGAACACAGGGACAGATCCAGCTATTTTAACCGATATTGGAGAACTAAATCTGACAATATGATGTGGGAAAAGTTTCTCGGATATTTTCATTGTTACATACTATTATAAACAGGATTGTTTTTGCTTTATGATTATAAAAAGTGTTTGTGTGTGGGAGGACAGTTCGTCAGAGTTGCCCCAGGCACAAAAATACCTAGTGACGCCACTGTATGTACAGTAGATCTATATAATAAAATAATAATATGATATACCATTAAGTGTTAATACGTAATAATTCACTGTTGAGTTTTAGATCATCAAATGTTTATAAGACCAACTGAATAGGAATTAAGAAGGATATGTTTGCTTCTATGGATTTTACCCTGTGTGTACCCAAGGCAACCCATAGTTTCCTCTAATACCCCCTCCCCCTCCCCAATGCTTGACAAGTGCCGTTTATATTGTTACACCTCCAGTCGTTACTTGATTTTCCGTAACTTCGTTCCGACGAAACTTTAGCGATACAAGTCCTTACTTAATAAAACTGGTTTATTCTTTCTGAATATAACTTTACCGATACACTTATTTTCAACAGTCGCTCTATAACAAACGTTTTAACGAACTTTAACTTCAACAATACTTTCTGACTGCAGTTCAATTACTCACTACTTGCACACATTATTCCGTCACGTTGTGAGCGTCTTATATATATATATCAGACTAACATATATCTAGTAAATGCTAGGGCATTCCCGAAGGTTCGAGAGAACGAGTGGCGTGACACTAGTCACGTGATCTCGCTGACGCAACAATATCAATGAGCCCCTGCACTTTTAATGTCCTCTGCACATTATTGCTTTCAACAGTTGGTGCATTTGATTAACATAAAATGAAAAACTGTAAACTTCTATGTATTAATAGATATAATTTCTACTGAGCAAGTGTGCATTTCTGGAGTAATTTCTACTACTTTTAAGGACAGAATTTATCTGTTTTCACAAGTTAAGAAGGCTTAACTGACATTTAAACTAAGGAGATTTTTTTTTCTTAGTGACGTGATGAGACAATGTTTCTGCGTGAATTAAACATAGACTCATGAGTCAGAATATGAGTTAAAACACTAATTTCAGTTTATCAGTGACTCAGAGATAAATAAAGTAAACTTAGCAACTATCAGAAAACGTTAAGGTATAAGTCTTCATAGGTTAATCTTCAGCTGACAGTGAACAAATTCGTAAAGACCAATCAAAGAAAGGAAAGCTGAAGCACGTGGATGATGACGTAGATCAATAGTTTAAAAGGTCACTAGTTTGATTCCATCTGGTCTCATTTTTAAATTTCAAAAAGGTTTCTGACATCATAGGACAATGTAACTCTCAACATTTCTTAACGCCCATCGTTAGTTGCGTAGAACTTATACAAGCTGTACTTGTAAAATTTAGTCCATATACATTTTCGTTATCATAAGTGGACTGGAACTGACATTATTAATTTTACGAAATAAACCAAAAGGAACCTACGCAACAATATAAACTGTTATACAACTTACGGTCCAACAAAACAGATAATTTATTAAATTATTGTAAAACTTTCTACTGTTGGCTGGGTTCTGTTGGATTTGCGTCTTCTCTGGTGGCTCAGCGATAAGTCTGGGGTGGCCTATAATGCTAACATCCGGGTTTCGATACCCGTTTTGAAAAGATAGCCCATTTTGTAGCCTTGTGCTTAACAACACACAAACAGAAACTTTTAGGTTATTCAGTAAAGAGAAGAAAGCATAATCCAGTCCACTTATTACCAACAAACACATTTTATTTATTGAACACAACTTACAACCTACTATTTACCAACGAATAATGACGTTGATTGTCACATTATAACGCCTACACCCGGCTGAAATAGTAAGCATGATCGGTGACGGGATTCGATTCCGCAACCTGCAGATTGCGAGTCCAGTGCCCTGACCATCAGGCCTTCCAGCCCTTCTACGTAATATGTTACAGTGTTTCTATCGATAAGGATAAAAATAATTTTGTAACAAAAACAAGGATTTAGAGAAGCGCCTTTTTTAACACATATTGTTACGCGGTGTCACAATCAACATGAAATCAAGTCTAGATTAACCTCTATTTTACTGAATGTTATTCTTTTTTCTACAGCAAAGACCACAGAATCTAAGTGATATCGCTATTGGTCAACATGGTTATGACAATCGTCTTCGATCAATGAGACCGCTCTTCTTGGCAAGAGGACCTAACTTCAAGAAAAACTTCACCATTAAGTCAGTTTTTAACACAGTTAACATATACCCCATGCTTTGTTATCTACTTAACATCAAACCCGCACCGAACAACGGAAGTTTGGAGATTGTTAAGGAGTTTCTTCACAACAACTCTTCTGCTGGTCCTCCTACTATGTCGTTCACTTTATCTGTATCTATCGTTGTGTCAATGTTATTGATCTTCCGCCCTTTCTTTTAAAGTGTGAAAATGAATATGTTTTATTTGAAATTGGCTTAAACTTAACATTTAATTTAGTTATGACTCGATGTGTTTGATAAAAAAAATCATATATCTGTAATTAATTTGATGACTATTAGCCTTAAGTCATATTGTTTAGTTCCCGAATTAATTAACACATATATATATATATATGTTTTGACCGTTACACACCATGTCTTATTGAACCGTGCAGATGAGCCTTGAAAGAGCGAAGCTGCAGTCCACACCAGAGGGTGCAGCCAATCAAAGAATACATTAGGTCTCTACGTCAGAATATTTTAAATTCTACCTTTGGTGAAAATAAAATAAGTGTGCAATATAATTATTTCTTACAATTTGTCTTATAACATTAACGTGTACTATATAAAGAAAGACAGGTTCTCAAAGTTGATTTATAATGTGATGTTTTTAATGTTGTGTGTATATGTGGAAGTATTTAGATTATTTCCACATAAGTTTGTTTGCTCTAGAGCAAAACCACATTAGACTGTCTGCCGTGTCCAACTCGGGGCATCGAACCCAGAATTTTGTAAGTCCGTAAACTGACCCACTGGGTGACTCGCCTGATAAGCAACATTTGAAAAGTTTCAAAGACACGTGTGCTCATTATACAGTGAACTAAAAAACAAATACTTTTTCTCACTTCTATTTTAATACTAAATGATTTGCATTTTACTTGCATAAAGAAAATTAAATATAAGCCTAAAAAGTTTACAAATTATAATTTCCCGATGTTTATTAACACGCAAGTAATAACATGCTGCAAACTTTTTATTTTATAGTCTCATTTTAAGTTTACTTACTGAGTATGTTTTATTATATTACAAGTTGTAGCTTTTATGGTAAGGAAGGTTTGTTTTTAGAACAGGTACGACGTTTCGATCATTCTCAAGTACACAAGTGATAGAAACGTCGTACCTGTTCTAAAAACAAATCTTACTTATTATTAAAAGCTTGTAGTAAAATAAAAACTTTTTATTTATTTCCCTAAACAAATTACATTGGATATTATTATTAAGTATTCTGTGACTCCAAAATTCTCTACAACAACAGAAATACTTTTTTGTTTTGTTTTTTACATTCACAAAACGTTGCGCTTGTCCTTGTTACATATTATTAAATGACTAGTTTCACGATATTTCATAAAACTTAGATGGCAGTTTTTTTTATGAACTCTTACCAAACTACATAAAACAAAAGACACAAAGATTACTGCTTATTTAACAACTAGTGTGGTCTGCCTAGTCCATTAGACGTCATAGCACTGTGTAAATGTCACATGTGAGAATTAGGAGAGTAAATTAATCAAAAATAGTTCTTACACCACATGAGCTAAAGGCTAGGACGAAACCTCAAGAACCTTAACTAACTTAGAGCTCCTTATGAGAAAGAAATCAGCCTTCAGCACCCACCGCCTACATAGCTACTCTTAACCGACAAGCGAATAGTAATAAAGTATATTGAATGCGGGCTGATAGACCATTAAGTAATATACATATAAAATATCATTTAATTCCTTGAGCAGATTCACTTGATAAAATCCTTCTTGAGTAACAAAAGTACATCTGTCGTGAATGGAAGACAAACTATTTAGTTGCTGTCAAATGGGGAGGTTTCTATGGAATTAAACATATCAGAATAAAGATGTTTCATATTGAGAATCAAACTAGAAACAAAAAGTCAAAAGGAGAAATGTAGAACCTAAGTACAGTTGCAATATGTATATACATATATATCTCAAAATTATTCAGGGTCTACATTTAGATCTTTGTGATTTTTTTTTTAGAGCGAAGCTACATTAAGTGATCTGCTGTGTTTATCGCGGAGTATCCAACTCCATTTTTAGCATTGTAGGTCCATAAAGCTTAGGCCCGAAACGTTTGCACATTAAAAGTGTTATTCACTTAATTGTATTCTTCCATCTTTCTATTATTTTTATTTATAATGGTAGAACAAAGGCTATATATCTATCTGTAACTGTTAAAAGAGATTTAGCTCGAATGAGTTCGTGTCATTTTCACGCAGTGTGGCGCAAAGCTCGTGAAGAGCATGTAAATTTTCTCAATGAAATGTAATATAATATAACTATTTTTCAGTTTTTGTAAGGCTTGAGATTTCTTACTTCGTTTGTTTGTTCATTTCGCTTATATTGGTAATTCATTAGATCGTGGCTGTGTTTCTATGTTTGAATAAAGTGATACGTAACAAAATGCGATTATTTATGTAAATATACGTCACAGAATAATGATAACACGTCAATCCGTTGTAAAACCTTCACGTTCAATGTATATATAATATTTCAGTAACCTAAATGTGTGTGTGCCGGTGGGACAGCGGTAAAATCCGAGGTTCGATTCTCCAAGGTGGACACAACAGATAACCCAATGTGACTTTGTTCTACAACAAACATAATGCACTACAGTGGAACAGCGGTAAGTTTGCGGACTTATAACGCTAAAAACCGGGTTTTGATACCCTTGATAATTACACTACAGATAGTGTAGCTTTGTGCTTGACTATAAACATATATCTCCTAAAAATCTACTGTAGAATCTTTTTTACGCTACAAACACTAACTTTTGTTTGTTCATGCTTCATATGCGTAATCCCTTACAACCATTTATATTAAACAGAAAACTCGGGCATTGTATTTGTCTTCTGCTTACTGTCATTCCGAGTAAACTGAATCATGTTGATACTCGGAGTTTGATATGACGTCATACACTTCTAAACCAGTTTGGTGCACATATCCTGTAATACAGTATTACATTACAACTGACCAGCATTGGTACTTTAATCCTGTTTTAGCCGGAGTGGGTAACTAATTACAAAAGATTTAGCTATTTTATGTAAACAAATAAAATAACACAAAAATAAACTTGATTTTAAAATAACGCATATTAATCAAATTTATAGCGTGAAAACGTGGATTTTATATTAGCTACAAACAGTAACCTTATCATTAAATTGTTGTTTCTGTCAGTATCTATTTCAGGTATGTCTCTTAATTTGCAATTTGTTCAACTTACTACCAGTACAGCGTTATAAAATCATATAAGGGGATTCATACAGATAGTATATATATATATAACACCAGGCCTTTGGATAATCAAATTTATTGATTTGTTTGTTTCGGATATTCGTGCAAAACTAGCTGTCCATTTTATGAATTATTTTTTTTACCCCTTCCTCATTTGCATAATATTTTCCCACATCACTGGGATACTTGATAATGAGTTGTTTTCAGATTCGTAAAATTTTACATTTAATTTTTCTCTGAGAAAATGTTTTCCACACCACATACAAATTAAAGTGATTAACATCCAGCAGTCTAATTTTAATGATGTGATGATACAATTGATTATAGGTGCTGACCAGCTTTTTCAATATGGCGATATACTTGTAAATTCCACGATGAGTAAAATAGTGTCATATTCTGTTTTTAAAAGTGCGATTAAATCTTTCTAATACAGATGCTTTTGTTCATAATGTGTTGTAAATAACTAAATGTCTTGTTCCTTGAGCTAACGTTGAAACAGATGATTAGTAAATTCTGTAACAGCATCAGTTTGAAGTTTACAAGGTTTTCGACCCTGTTTTAAAATCTGTTTGAAAGTTTTGACGAGTGTCACACCTTTATTATACTCGAGGAGAACAATCCATGCATATTTAGAAAACATACTGATTCACGCGAGTAAGTACGTAAACTGATTGTTTTATTGATTTGGGTTAGAGAGATCTTCACTAAATCAGCCTGCCATTGTTCATCAATCCCCGAAACAATAACTCGGTTTCTTTAAAATTTATATCTTACTGGTTTGTGTACAGTGCTTGTATCCTGACATCTTAACCAGTCTTTGACCTGTTTTATAATAAAAGGTTTACCTAGCACTTTCACAGATCTAAATAAATATTGTATTTCACTATAACTAACAGAATGTGTAGGACTATAATAGATTATTGTATAGTATAGGCATTATTGACTATGTGTATACCATTTATATTTATTTATTTTATCATCAACATTGTCTCTAACAGTAGTAATGATTTTACCTTTACAACAGGCGGTGTTATATCTTAGATGACTCAAAATATTACTAAATTTTGAAGGCTGACAACAGTCTATGACGACGATCAATAGACAAATGAGTGAATAATACAATACTACTTTATTTAAAATGATCCCATTTAGATACAATATGTTTAGGTCTTTAACATGTGTATCATATTTTATATACATCCATCTGTCTACATTTCCAACAACCTCTTGGAGAATATTCATATCTGATAATTGTTCTATAAATTTTTTACATCCTGTAGGATTGAAATTATTTCATTTTCATTGTACGTAGCTGATCAGGTCAATCATATTACAGTTTGGGATGGATCTTCTACTAATCACTAATTCTTCTCGATCATTCCACTCTGGAAAGTATTAAGTTTAATAGTATTTCAGCTTCCTTTTTATATTTCTGAGGAACACTGTCGACGATCTCTAAATTTACATGAGTAGGCGATTACATTTTAATTTTAAAGGGTTTCATTGCTTACAAATGGAAAGTTCAATGATCTTGTTACACCTGATTTACCATCTACAGGTAATGTATCATTGTGTATGACAGAGTTCATATCATTATCTGTAGTTTAGTACTTTATGTACTAGTCTTTCATAAACTTTGGGTTGATAAAATGTGTGTACCAGTTCTTCAGGAACCAGAATCATTTGTGTAGTGTATTCTATATATATTTTTTTAAATTCCAACAGCTTTACAAACAGCCCATCTTGCCAAACCACCAAACAAAGAAAGTATTAGTGCTACGAGTTCCGTTTTTGTTTAACTGATGTTTTTTCGACAGCCAGCTTTCTCAATAATGACTTGTATCCTCAAGTTTCTGCTTTTGCAAGTTCGTCATGGAAACATTAAAACATTTCAAGTTCATTCACAAGTACACATGATAAAATCATTTTTAGCTCTGGAAATTAATCTTTTAATCTGTTTATATGTTCTTTAGGTAATGCATGAAGCAACTCTTGATGTTTTTTAACTCTAAGTGTCATGATGAATAAATGAAAAAAAAAAAAGTTGTATACACAAAATATAAAAACTAGTTATTTATAAATCCATTTCGATATAACATCTATTTCTTTACACTACAATGATAGTGATTGTTAATATGAACAGGATAGAGTAGAGTTTAGAAGATAATTAACCCTGGAACATCCAAACAGTTCCAGATTTTAACAATAATTTTCAGCAAACTTCTCACTACTCGACTTTCTCTTTGTAGAAACAGTGGTAAATTTCTCTCTCATCAATATAGCCACACTTCACAGGTAGGGATAGTCGATGTTTCTGCTTTCCCAGGGGATGTGATGAATGTAGCGGGTCACCCATTCACATTGACGACGTTCATTCGAAAATGGTTATATAACAAAAACACACCTACATATACAGTGACTAAACATTTAAAATACTAGTTCTCTGGTTTAAAGGCTATGTTTTCTGAGGTCATTTGAACTCTTTCCTTTTCAGCATACTGGACAACATAATCCTGTTTTGCCTCTGATCTTATACAGTGAGAGGGCCATTGTGAACTTTCTTGCTTTATCTTAAGAGAAGGATCAATATAAACTTTAAAAAGACATATGGATTTATTAGAAAAATGGTATCTCTCACGCACCTTCATTATCTGATAACCACACTAGACTGCTTTTTTAGCTTCTTTGGTGACCCAGGTACTGATAAAAGCTTTCTCGTCATCAGAGATGTGACA